AGGCAATTGATCCCCTTCGCATCATAGCTAATTTGATGGATTTTTTTTTTCTTTCTCTTTTTAAAAGGATGTTGTTAGGCTGTTTGAATTGCCTCGTTGTGTGGTACCTCATCGTTACATTGCCAACCACCTTTGAGCTTAAATTAGCTTTCATTAAGAGTATTAGTCCTACAGAATCCCCCAACCCATCTGAAGGTGACAGTAGAGGAGCAATAACACCAGCTTCCACTTTCTTCTCTGCTTCTTTGCCAGGTATCCTTCAGCCAGCTTCCTCTCCCTGCCACCAACCACTGCAAAATTTTATTTCCAAAGATATCACAGATCCACTATGCCAGCTTGAAGCAAAACTCCAGCTCAACTCAGTCGCTGCTGCTGCCTAAATATTAATTTGCAGCTTGTTTTGACCTCTTCTTTCATGGCTTTTTCTCCTATGAGATTTTGAGAAACCTAAGGATATAATTCCAGAAATGTGTCATGTTTTTCTGTTTACTTTCCCACATTTTGTTTTCTGTTCCCAAAACTATGGGAAGAAAGCACTCCTGATAAGAGGTGTGGCTCAGGGTAAGCAATACCGCCACCCTCCCCTCCCATATCACTTTCCTCCAGGGGAGTTTGTGGTACCGTCATGCTCAAGGCTTATAATATGTGACACTGAAGTCCAGTTATTTATTTTCATGTCTGGCTCCTAGATGCTGAGGACAAGAACCATGTTCTGCTTGCCTTGCATGCCCGGCATATTTCAAAAACAGGTTTTTGAAAGAAGGCCTGGCAGTCTAGGGTAGCAGAATGATCTACAGTAGCATTTAAGCTTCACCACTTTAGCTCTGTGCTGTAGGAAAATCGCTCACTGTGTCTGACCCTTACTCTCTTCATCTGCACAATGGGATGATTTCTCCGTCGCCCTCCTGAAGGCAGTGGTGTGAGGCTTAAATTGGCTAATATGCATGAAAGGACTTTCTATACTTCTCTCCATACATAAAGTATTATTATCAGGGTCCTTAAACTAAGAAGTTTGTATTTCCTTTGTGAACTTTTAGAAAGACAAGTTTGGTTTTTCTGGGGGAATATTCCTGACTCTAACAATATTCATGTAACTGACCTTTTAATATCTGCATGCTGTTGCTGATATAGTTGTTTCATGGATCTTGAATATGTTTTTATGAAAAATTCAAAACTGTAAGATTGTATTCTATATGGAATAATCCAAAAACTTTTTTCAACAAAATTTTGCTTTTAAGATAATCCAATCAGGGGCCAGCCCTGTGGCTGAGTGGTTAAGTTCGGGCACTCCACTACAGTGGCCCAGGGTTTTGCTGGTGCGGATCCTGGGTGCAGACACGGCATTGCTCATCAGGCCATGCTGAGGCAGTGTCCCACATAGCAGAACCAGAAGGGCCTACAACTGGAATATACAACTATGTACTGGGGGGCTTTGAGGGGAAGAAGAAGGAAAAAAAAGATTTGCAACAGATGTTAGCTCAGGGCCAATCTTCAAAAAAAGCAAAAGATAACCCAATCAGAATAACGACCTGGTTGTACACATTTCATTGTTCTCTCAGAGACCAGAGGAAGCACATCAGGACTTCTAGACGCCAAGATTGACGTTTAAAAATATTTTAGTGCGATATAGCCTTGAACTCAACCAGTCAGAATGTGGCTAAAATCAGATTTTCTATATAGTCTGTACAGGGTATGTACAGACCCTGTACATACTATGACAACTTGCTAAGCAAGTCAAGTCAAAATGTCAGCATGCAAGCTCTGTAGCTCATGTGTAGCCTGGGAAGGATGTCAGGCAGCAAATAGCAAACATGTTTTGCTGTGGGAATGCCAATTAGCTTGTGAGGGGCTTCCTTTCTTTGACGGGAGGAAATACAGTATAATAGTTAAGAGTGGGTTTTGATGTTACTTAGACCTGGGCTCAAATGCTTCCTTTGCTTTTTACCAGTTTTGTAACTTCTGAGCCTCATTTTTTTCATCCGTGAAATGGATATACAAATACCTATATAACAGGCATAATAGAACTGTTAAGAAAATTAAATATAGGACACTGCTCAGCACAAGGTAGGAGCTCAATAAAACGTAATTATATTACCTGTAGTAGTCGCTAATGTTACTAAGTAAGAATGAGATTAATAACATTATAATATCCATTATATAACAATAATAATGATGATGACGAGGCTTAAGCATGACGGATGCTCTCCTAAGAATTTACGAATGTTAACTCATTTAATCGATACACACAGGTAGGGACTATTACTGTCTCAGGTTTACAGCTGAGACTCGGAGAGGTTAGGTAAATTGCCTGAGGGAAACGGCACAACCAGGTTCCCATCTCAGGCAGTCCAAGCCCAGAACCAGAGTTCTTAACCAGCATGCTCTACCACTGACGCCTTCCTGCCCAAGGATACTGTTATGGACTTAGCGCTTTAGTGAAATAAGTGGCAGTTCTTCGGATGGTGCAGGAAAGAAGAGTCTGTCACATTATCAAGGCTCATCGTGGGCACCTACATTCGACACCCATAGAAGGAGTTTGTGTCCACTAGATGGCATTGCTGTTTTAACAAAATGTGAACCAAGTCAATACTGAGGTTTAGGAGCCTGCTAAAATTGAGAGCACTAGCCAGACAATCTAATTGTAGTCCTAAAAATCTGATGGAAGAAACCTCCAAAATTTACAGCATATCAAGAGATCTCTAAAGACTACTGGTGCCTTGAAATAATTAAGAAAAATATATGCTAGTTCATTTTGGGTATCAATGTCTGTGTAGAAAATCTAGATGAATTTTGAGATCATCTAGTCTAAATGCCTCAGTTCATAGACGAATAGACTGAGGGGCAGAGAGGAAAAGTGACTTGCTAGGGTTGCTCAGACCTGATGGTTTTGGCCATAGTTTTCTGTCCGTAATACTTCCTACTGACTCTAAATCACAAACGAACTGTGATTTCTGAATTCTTAGAAGACTTTCCTTTTGGGTATGGGGCAGAAGATTGCCCAACAATCGTGAGTTTTTGTTTCGTTAGGTTTTAAACACGTGTTCCAACTCAATAGCAGATTCAGGCACTTAGATATTAAGTAGGATAAAAGCAAAAATGGTGCTTATTTCTTTTCCTTTTTAACATATCCTGTTGGAAAGATTGAGTGACTTCACTTAAAAAGACTGTCCCTACTGCTTGACAATGCAGTCTGTGGACATTAAACCTATAGCCAGTAGCAGGGTAATGAATCAGCACAAAGACTCTGGTATTAGACTGCCTAGGGTGGAAGCTGGCTCCATCCTTTAGTAACCAAAGGGCCCTGGGGAGGTAAAGAAACAACCCTAAGTCTCTGTTTCCTTATCTGTAAAGTGGGAATAACATTTTTACTTATAAGATGCTTGTGAAAATTAAACGTGTGTGAAGTGCCTGTGACATAGTTAAAAATCAAGGTTAAGGGTAGCAATAATAATGAATATTTTTGCTATTATAGCTGATGTTTAATTTTCTATATCTCCCAATTGCGAATGTCACTACAGGTATTTTGTCAACAACTTCTTTACTCACTGTCACATGCTGAATTACTAAAAGAGAGAAATAACATTTCAGGTTGTATAACTATGTGACATCGCTTCTTCCCCAACCAGATGGTAGAAGTAGCCAAGATGCATATGGCATGTTCTTCATTATGTGTTCACATCAACTTTATTTAAAACGCTCGTAGGCTTTAGGCTCCTACTCACAGTGTAGACAGAGAAGGTGACGGAGTACATAGTAGACAAGTAATAACAGCTAAGCGGTATTGAGGACTTGCTGGCACCAAACATTGCTCTGTTTTACAAATATTAACTCATTTAATTCTTACAACAACCATATGATCTACAACCTAATACTTTTCCCTTTTTAAAGACGAGCAATCAAACAAAGAGAGATGAATGAACTGGGATTGAGAAACTCGCTCCAGCTGAAATAATAAGCCATGATTTGAACTCAGCTGGCCTGGTTCTTAACACTCTGCTCTGCCACCTCTCAGGGCAGGATGTGAGGAGGCCTGACAGGTTCCTGGGCTCCACATCACTTTCCGGCATCCACTAAATACTGCAACGAAGCCTGATATAGCTCCTGTTTGTTAGCTCCTCTAGGCTACTGTTAACATGCAACTCTGTTACCCAGGAGGGTAATGTGTTAAGTAAACCTACATCAATATTTTTAGGGCAATTAGTTAATGAGATCAACTGGTTAAACCTTTAATAGACTCCTGAGCTTAACAGGGTAAAACAAAGCTGAGAAGGTCAGAAGAAAACCTGCCTAGGATAGGGCACTCTTGAAGGCCACTCCTTAGGAATCAAAGGACGTCACAGCAGAGAGAGGATTGGGTTGCTGATGCAATTGTGTCTGTGACTAGCCCAACTCACCGGAGCTTATTTGGTGCTCTTATGTTCTGGAACATTCCAGACTCCACTCTCTTCATTGCCAGTAATTCAGACTCCATTCCCATGTAGAATTCTTGAATTCAGACTTACAAGAGGCTTAGAGGTTGTCTGGTCTACTCCTCTGCCTTCACAAAGAAGGAAACTAAGGTACCATTTGCTTATGGTTTGTCCTCAGTTATCTTAGATGGAGAGTTCAAGCCCTGTTCATTCAGTTACTACACACTGTTTCTATCTCCTATTTTGCTTTAAATAGCATCATTTTGAGTACTTGCTGAAGTTTTCCTGTTTATACCAGTAACATTGTCCTTCAGCGATGAACCCAGACTCAACAGATAGCATCTGTTCTTTACAGATAACATCTCTCTATTTATAATTTCTTCTCTCTTCCTTTGCTTGAAACAAACTTTTATGGGGCAGGGGAACAATGACTGTCGTTAGAACATATTTTAAAATCAATTAGTTTTCTCACTAGAAGCTATGAATGCAAGTAATTCAACTTAGATCTAAGAAAATGACCATACTAAATAGGACCAAGGCAACTTCAAAGCAGAATTTCCAAAAATGAGCTGGAAAGAGACGTCCACTTACCGATTTCAGTCATTGTTATCCCTGGTGCTAACTGCCCGTTGTTGAAAGAGCTATAGGTAAACAAGTTGGGTACGGATGTGAGGTCATAGATAGGTTCTTGCTTTATCTGTTTGATTCCAGTCATGTCAAGTCCTGACTGATCAGGGGAAGGCTGGCCGGAATCCACGTTGTAATAACCCTCGGACTTGGGCAGGTCAATGACATGTCCGTTGGCATATGTGCCGCTGGCTTCATTGTTCAGGTTGCTGAGGCCATTGCTGATGCTGCTGCTATACACCCTGGCAAGGGCTTCCGCCTCCCCACCCTGCTGCTGCCGCTGCTCCTGCAGCCGCTGCTGGTGCTTCTGCACCTCGGCATACAGGCTGTCCCTTTGCTTCTTGGACATCCTCCCGAACTTCACAGCTGGGTTGGAGAGAAAAGCAGAAAGTAGCACTTGTGGTTATCATTCTCAGGAACCACCCTAAGTCCAAGGGGCCATGACTGCTGGTCCATCAACATCAAATGCACAAGCTTCTAGCACCATAGCCCCAGGGTCCATTCATTTGCACTCTACAGTTGGTGAAAGGTTATATTAAGGGGTATCTGTACTGGTTTATGTGCACAGTGAGAACTAAATCTAATTGAGGAGAAGTGTAAAAACTTATGTATTTCTCATTGACATGAAGTTTAGCGTATTTCCTTGTTCTTTCTTACTTACGGGGAAAAAAACCCCACAAAAACAAAAAACTACCAAATAGTACTTGATATTAAAATGTCAACCGATACTCATTATTAGCTTTTCCCTCTAAGCATTAGGATTACTAGATTGTCGGATAGGACCCTATTATTTCACTATTTTCTAAATAGCATGTTGGGTATGATCAAGGATGTGGGGCAGGGTGATAAACACAATTTTAAGCAAACCACATCATTCGCCATCAGTTGGCTTTGCACATCAAACGGAAAGGATCTCTGGAAAATAGCAATTTGGTGCATCCAAGGCCCAGCAAGCGAGCCAGCAGTAAGCCCTCCTTTCTCATTCTACCACCCCCAAGTTTTGCTGCCCATCTCTTCTGATAAAATCCTCAGCTACTCTGAGGAAAAAAGAAAAAGAGGCGTTGTAAGTGGTCACAGAGTAATATGAAAATGCTTTACTGATTGACATTACATTTCAATCTGAATGCGTTGATTTTTAACTTATAGAGCTTAACCTCCTGAACTTATGGACATTGACATTTTTCCTCACAAGCTGTCAACTCCCAGTTTAAGCTGTGAACATCCTGAGTCAAGGTGCCACCTTGTCTGAATTATCAAGCTCTGTGTTGTTCAGCTCATGCTAATGGTGGAGACTACGACAAGCCTGGAGATTCCTCTCTGTTTCTATTTTTTTTTTCTTTTGTGACAGTGTTCCCATCACCTGTTGGTGTTGGGAGCTCAGAGAATGTAGAAAGAAGAAAGAAGAGGGTATAAACAGGTTCAGTTCTTGGATTCAGTCACTAGGGTTGATGAGAATAACTTCTGAGGAGACCTACACGGCCAAGTGCTTAAAAACTCTCCAGCACGAAGGGCCCACAGAAGAAATTCTTGCTGTGAAAGAGCTACCATTTCACCCTCCAATATTCTTCCAGTATTCATTTTCTTCTTTCGTGGGTTACAGAGCTACCAAATTTTATCTGAGCATCGGCTGTGTAGAATGGGGACCACATATCCCAGCCTCCCTCGCTGCCAGCTGTGGCCACGTGATTAAGTTCTGACTAACAGGAAGTAAATGGAAGTGCTACATGTACTTCCAGGTGTTGGGGCATGATATTTTCCTCCTTCTTGCCTACTGGATTGTGGATGTGAGGGCTGGACTTAAAGCAGACCAAACTCTTTGAATTTGTCCTTAAGCCCTCTTAAAAATCTATGTTTTGGCTTTCTGATACTGCCTAAGTAGGAAAACAAGGTGGTAATTATCCAGTCATTTTTCTGAATGAAGACAATTAATCTGGTTAACTCAGATCAAACTCTCCTTTTCACCTCAACTGTTGTTTTTATAAGGTCTTGAATTATCCAGATCAGTGTGTTTACCTTTGTCAAGACACCATCTTTGTTAGCATCTGTTTCCTATTTTTTTTTTTAATTTTATTTTTTTCCTTTTTCTCCCCAAAGCCCCCCCGGTACATAGTTGTGTTATATTCTTCGTTGTGGGTCCTTCTAGTTGTGGCATGTGGGACGCTGCCTCAGCGTGGTTTGATGAGCAGTGCCACGTCCACACAACGAAACACTGGGCCGCCTGCAGCAGAACACGCGAACTTAACCACTCGGCCACGGGGCCAGCCTCGCATCTGTTTCTCAGAGACAATTTTTTTGCTTACTAATTGCAGTGGTATTTCCAGTTTGTCCATGGACAGAATTCTATAGTAATTTTTAGGGAAAACTTTCTCTGCACCTTATATTATATCTTTCTAAAAAATTTACTATGTATCATTCTCTAGGGAAAAAAAACTTTTTGTATAAGAAAAAGTAAATCATAATAAATTTTGATTCAGAAAGAACTCCCTCCAACCAAGAAAATCATGTGACATGCTTCTTTATTTGCTGACTCCTTTTTCTTTGGGTTCATGTAGGTTCCAAACAGCTCACTGTTACAGAGCTATAGAGGTGAACACAAAATTTGTATCAATTGCTATAGATGAAGATTTTTGTTTTGGCCAGAAGAGATCTACTTTCTGACTTACTTTAGTAGAATAGTTTTCCATTTGTTTGTTTAAATTTTATAGGGAGAAAACTGAGAATGAGAAACTCTCCAACATGGAGACAGAAACACAGTGTCTCTTTTTAAACTCCTTTCCTTTTAGTCCTTGCTTTAGATTTCTATATACTCTATATTGAGACGAAAGATACATTGTGGTGTACTGAATGCATTGATGACCCTGATTTCTTTTACCTATTTCCATGCCCTTCCCTGTGTAAATCTGCAATGCCTTTTCATTCTGTGCAAGCATCCTGTCTCACCCCTTGACTCAGGGTCATGTGACCTGCTCTGGGCCGGTGTAATATTGACATATGTGATGCTAACAGAGGCTTAAAAAGTGCTTGTGTGATTGAGTGTCTCACCATGAAAAGGACATGACTAAGCTAGCTTACTGGAGGATAAAATACGTGAAGCAGACCAGAGCCACCTCAGATATCCCAGATGAGAACATCTATGATCAGCGGATCCACAGAAGGACCTGTAGCTGGTGGCAGATGCATGAATGAGCCCAGTCAAGACCCCACATTTAACAATTTTAGGTTCAGAATTCTGCTGTTAGCCATAGATCTCATAATCAAAGCTAACAGTGTCAAATAAGTACGCTGTCAAGTCCTCTGCCTAGGTAAACATCTGAAACTCAGTAGTGAATAGTTAGGCCTTTTCCAGGAAATCAACTTAGCAGATTACTGAGCAACTGAAGTATTTTCAAAGAAACAACTTAAAGCTCCACTACATTTTAGAATGATCAGATTTCATCCTAAACCAAGGACTTTGCTGACAATTACCATAAAACTATTTTAGAATGAATTTTCCATTCATTTTAGAAACACAGATGAGCCAGTGTTTGTTTTATGCCCCTTCCTGTAATAAAAGTGATGACATATTTGTGAAAACATTACAGTACAGGGCAAAAATAAACCTACTCAACTTTCCCGACATATAAATAATTCCTCGTCACTATTTGTAAATACCTTTGTTGTATTCATAGGCCTATTTTAACAAAGGCTATATTATTATTATATTTTCAGGTATTAGCATTCTTCTTACCACTACCTATTAATCAGAATGGCACATATTTTAAGTGTTTGCCCCTCTCAGACTTGAATTACTCTGTTAATGAGATTCACTTGAGTATAGAGGCAGCCTCTTGTTAAACTGCTAGCTCTCAAAGAAACCAGCACAATTCTGTATACATTGCAAGTGCTTTATAAATATTCAGTGATTAAAGTATTTTCTCATGATATGCTCTTCACCCTCATTTTGATCGCACACTAGCAAAGAACAATTTTATGCAAAAAGTATTGGAAATCTTTCCATATTTATTTGGATTGTGAGATTCTAAATGGAACAGAAGTTTTGGGAGCAACTATAAAATAAACTCATTGCTTTTTCAAGGATTTCTTCTTACTACTACATGACAACTAGACATACGTTTTTGGTTTTAAGAGAACCCAATTGTAGAACTATCATCTTTGACTTTTCATAGTTATTTTGGAAATTATTTCATCTTACCATCTTTGGTTGTAAAGCTCTCTAAGTTTATATCTTGCTTACCAAGGAAGCTGGTCTTAATTTAACTCTTAAATTTCAAGGATATGCCTTTTTTTTTTTTTAGTGCTCTAAACTTTGTAGAAAAATTCTGTCCAAACTTGTTCATTAATTTTAAAATATTCTCTCTCATCTCTTTTCACTATTTCTCCAACAGAACTTCCTGTGATGATGGAATGTTCTCTATGCTTTCCAATTTGGTAGCCACAAGCCGCATGTGGCTATTGAGCACTTAAAATACAGCTAGTGTGACTGAGGACTGAAGAATGGAATTTTAAATTTTATTTAATTTTATTCAATTTAAATGGTGACACGTGGATACCATACTGGGCAATGCAGTTCCGGATAAGAAGACATTGTGAAATCTGTCCTTGTTGGGAAGCTTCCATTTTTTCATAGGTGTATATTTTAGGAGACATATTTGATTATTACAAGGTGAGTATCATGTTTTCTCTTTGAGGCTCAATATCTTCCTGATGCCAAGAGACAATATATGCCAATTATCTGTATTTCTTTAAAATCTGGAAGTTTTTCTTTCTTTCTTTTTTTTTGGTCCACATCACCTTGAATTTCACTGGAGGGAGTGTGACCAAAGGCACATGATCCACATACAGAAAATAATTATCATTGTCTATGTCTCAGGCTCTAGGAAGAAGAGAATTCTGTGGTTCATTCAACAAACATTTAGGCACCTGCTTTTAACCAGACCTTAAGCATATAGTGGGAACAAGATGGAAATGGCCCCCTGGCTTAGGGCAGCTCACAATTTAATACAGGAGTGCTGTGCCCAATGTTGGTGGGGAAAGAATTATCTTAGACAAATGCTTAAAAATGGAAGCAAAGCTAGACGAAATTCTTTGTTTCACTTTATTTGTTCCCTTTCATTAATCTAAGAAGTTCAGCTGGGACCCAAGCCACCCAATTGGGTTGGGCATGAGGATGGAGTGCACACTTGTGTCATATTCTGAGGACACCAACCTACGCAACCCTTCTAAAATTTAGACTTCTTCTATAGCCTTTACAATCTTCATCACGGCTCAGAATAGTTCAAATCCTTGTCTGGGTAGCTGTGACCAGCCAGTGGCGCTTCTGGGTTTCCTATAGAAGTATGTTCTTTTCCTTCGCATCTCCACATACTAACCAATTTGTGCACCAGCCAGACTTAACCCAGTGACCAAATGGTCCCAGTTTGACTGAGACTTTCCAGTTTTAGCTCTGAAAATTTCATGTCCTGTGAAACCTGTCATTCTCAGGCAAACCTGGACAGGTGGTCACTTTCAATCTAAGCCTATGTGGCTTTCACTTAACCTAGTTAGCACGGGTTTTGCTCCATGATCTACAGTAAAGCCTTTCTTTTCTTCTTATTTCATAGACAATACTAATTTTTATATGTTCTTACTTTTCCTCTTATGCCTAGCAGCACACGGTTTTCTTTGCTTCTCATCTGCAATTCCCTTTGTCTAGAATTCTTCCAGCAGCTTAAACAGACGCACGCAAAGCATTCATTTGAAAGCCTTTCAGTAAGAAATAGGAAGGCAATGCCTTACCATCTCTCGACATTCCTAGGGCAAGACACTTCTGCAGTCGGCAGTGTTGGCAACGGTTCCTGTTGGTTCTGTCAATTAAACAGTTTCTCTGCCTTGGGCAGGAGTAAGAGGCATTGTTCTGCTGGCTCCTCCTAAAGAATCCCTAGAGGGAAAAAGAGAATGAGGGAGACAGATTTATAAGAAGGGAAACAGAGACTATTAACATAGGTTTGCTACATTTTCTACAGTGAATATAACAGTTTAATTTTTAAAATTCTTTGGATCCTTCTCCTTGGATAGCTTATAGATGTTTCTACTGGAGGAAATACATACTATCTGCAGAGATATGAGGGTATCACTCATTCATTCATTCACTCACTCATTTAATCAATGTTTACTAAGGACATTAGTGAGCTGTGCTGTTCTATGCAAAGAAAAGCAGAAGGAAGTTTCTGCCCTCACAGAGCAGTGGGGAAGGAGTGGCAGAGAAGATCACTGCTAAGCCAGATATGACAAAGCTGGATGGGGACAATACTACAGGCTTATTTCGGGCACTGTGGGGTGAGAAACTTGAGTCACAATAGACCTACTAAGGCCTGTGGGCTCAGTATGTGCTACTATCTTCCTAGTTTCTAGGATGTATTTTTCCCCATTTGAAAAGTTTTGAATTTGGACTGATTGCATTTGAAAGTTTTTTGTTTTTTTGCTGAGGAAGATTGTCCCTGATCTAACATCTGTGCCAATCTTTCTCTATTTTGTATGTGGGATACCTCCACAGCATGGCTTGATGAGCGGTGGATAGGTCTGCACCCGGAATCTGAACCTGCAAACCCTGGGCTGCCAAAGCGGAGCACAGGAGCTTAACCAATATGCCACTGGGCTGGCCCCTGGAAGGTTGGTTTTTAAACCAATGATGTATCTTAAAATCAACCACATCTTTGAATAAAGGAAATACGGTATATAAACTGTTCAATAAAAAATAAGCAATAATTAAAAGCTGAACTAATGCTCTCTGCTCAGCCTCAGGCTATAGTGATGTAGGAGACCTTCATGCAAGTCAGTCTGGGTCCTTCTGGTACAAAATGAACTGCCATGGACCCTACGCTACCTTTCTAAATAAATCCACAGTTGAGTTTATTTTTTTAATTCTTTGGATACCACTCGGTTTAATCATCTTACAGAAAACCCTATTGGGGAAAAATAAACATTTTCTTTAGAGAAATGAAAGTATCAGTCACCCATTCCTTCACATATTTAATCAGTTTCCTTAATTGCTCTTTCCTCTTGAATTGAAATACAGCAAAAGTGCAAAGTGCCGTGAGCAAAGTCATGGTCTCTAACGGATTGACTGAGAGAAATTTTAGGAAAAGATAGCCCACAGTATCATCTTTTGGAAGAAGGCAGCCTTGAGACGGGCTGGGACGGTCAGCCCAATGCCTATCTTGCTGTGAGGCCTGGAGGAGGTCACCTGACCTCTGTCAAACAGTTTCTGTGTTTCCTCAACTATCAAGAGGAGGATAGAGCAGGGCCGGGACAAGGGTGAGGTGAGTGAGGCAATCAACTTGGCCACAAATTTAAGGGTCGTTGAAAGAGTGGGTAATCAGGATAAATATTTCAACACAATATGTTAAAAGTCAACATTAATGCAAAAAAATACTGAAAGTTTAAATAAAGAGAGGATCAACATTATTGATTTTCCTTTGGTCTTGGGCTCCAATATGGCTCAGCATGGCACTGTAAAGGGAGCTTGACTAACCTTGTGAAGAACCTCAGAAAAGGATGTTGTGGCTAAGTATCTCCTTGGAAAGAAAGGGCACCAATTGGCTTTGTGGTTGTAAACCCAAAGCCATTCAACAACAAGAACTAATTTTGCCCTCACAGATCCATGTGTATTATTTATTTAACGGACAAGTGGAGGCAGAAAGAGATATCTGATTGTCCAGTTTGAATGAATTCATGGAGCCCCTGAAAACAGAGATGGAATCCAAGCCCCCGGGGATTGAAATGATGTAGTTCACACACCATGAAAGCTGTCAGAAAGCATAACTTCAGCCCATTGGTCTTGATTAAAGATGACTCGAAATTTACATTTTAAGAAAGAAGCCTGTGGTTTTTATCTTTGGGTACTCTAGCGCCACTTAGCAAAAGAGTTGCCAGAAAAAATGAGTGAAGTCACAGCTACAGCCCTAATTTAAGGCCAATTTGACATTAATTATGAGGCATTTTTTGCTTATCTGTTGCTCATTATTGCAAATGAGGTTTTTGGCATGAAAAAAGAGATTCTCTTTCAAATTTTATTGAATGAATAGGAAATTTGAATAAATGCACAAGCTGCATTGATGTTATTTAAAATGGGTTGTTTATGTTGACTAGAAAACAGTGTTATGAAAATTCAGAGGTTGATACTGAATGTGCTGACATTGACATCTTATTCTGAATAGAATTTCCTGAATTTTCTATCTGCAGAAAAATGTAGCATATTTACAAACGTGAGTGTTTCCATGAAATAAAAAAAATAGTGTGGTGTACAATATCATTTTGACTAAAACGTCAAAGTATGCTTCAGAGTAACAGCATAATTTCTCTGATTGTGGATGCCTTCTTTAAATAGAAAAGATGACATGAATAGGACTAGTTCTTAGCTATTGATCTGCCGAAATATATTTGTTCAGTAGTTAAATCTTTGGGAAATTACTGTTTAAAATGTTTTGCTCCTTAAGATGAACATGGCCTTGTATTTTGAAATCAGACATCTTCCAAACAGACCTTATCTAATGAAACACAAAACATCTCCACTTTGACATTGATCTAAAATACATTTTTGCTGGACACTATGTAAACTAGACCAGAGCTCTTAAAACTGCATAAGAAACCAACAAAGTGGTAGAAATACTTTCACTGGAGAGGGTTCCGATTCCAAAATTATTAGTATTTACAAATAAAACTATTTATCTACCTGCCCAGAGGAAGTAATGACTTAATCTAGGAGGGTAAAAAATTGCTGATTTGTAATTTTGCTTTATTGTTTCTTTTGAAGAGTTGAAAAAATTGCATTAATGTAAATAACATTCAATTCTTAATTGTAAGTCTGCAGAGGGACAGAACGTAAAGCACATCTTATGATGTTCCAACATGGATTATCACTAATCACCTCGAAGCAGGTCAGTATGTTGATGGGTTAGGACATTAATGTTTTTCTCCCCTCTCTACATCCTTTGCCAGCTTTATTCTCATTTGTTGCTCTTTCTTTTCTTTCCTCCAGTTTCAATTCCAGGAATCATACTTTTTGAGAATATTACAAAGACATTGCCAGTTTTTTGCATAGCACCACTATTTGTCAGTTATAGCATTTTGCCTCATTTATATTTGAAAGTCTCTTAAGATTAAGATTGGTCCTTAGAATCCATGATTAGGCTACATCTCCTTCAGTTTACTGACCTTAAATTAATGATACACTGCTTGCATCTTGGATCAAAAATACAATTGCTTTCTCCAATAACTTTGCCAGGACATCACTTTTTCCTCCCAGACTGTGGCTGCATTTTATTTGCTCTGGTTACATATTACCCTTTAAAATTAGTTGTAGAACTGTTTTTATTTCCTCCTGGATACTTAATCTCTCCACTCTTTCTTTTTTTTTAAGGATGAATGCTAACAACTTACTGTTAGTTTCAAATTTCTCTTATTTCACATTAGGTCTACGTTGACTGCTATTCCCCCAGCTTCGTATTTTAAAGCAGCCTGCCCGTAGGAATTAGTTTGCCTTTGTAAGGATTGGTCGAATCTGTCCTGGAAAGGAACTCTGGACAGAGAATGAAAAATCCTGTGTTGTTGGCCATGCTCTCTTACTAACTACATCAGTGACCTTGGCCAAATGACAAAATCTTGTTTATACCTCAGAACTTCATTGAAAAATAAGGAGGTTGGGGAGGAAGATTTTTAATTAATTTAGAGATTATCTGGCTTACTTCTAACATTCCATGCTTCCAGTTTTATTTTTCTGGAATGTGAGAATAAAGGATGGCCATATGCCTATTGCAACTGTTACTTTGACTTCTTTCTCAAGCAGATAAATAAATGTAGCCTCGTTAGTTATAATCTTTATTTTAACCTTTAGTTCTTTAATATAGTAATAAACACCCTGGAGCTTGCTGGAGACAATACTGTTAAAAACCTCAAGAATCAGTATTTATATCTCTGTAAATGTGAGTAGTTCAAACTTTTAAATAAGAATCCATTTTTAAGCAGCTGCTGACCGGTTAGACAAAAACAAAAGGGTGAAAGGTCAAAGAACGGAAAATCAGCCCACCCACCACTCAGCAAGGATCCCGGAGTGTCAGCAGCGGGCACAGAACCCTTTAGCAAACCTTTAAAAAGGCGTGCTCACCAGCGCCCGCGAGGCACGCGGATGCCTGAGGCGGCCGCGGGTGCTGTGGCAGCGCTGTGTTAGAGCCCGTACCTTGCAGCCTTCACACGTGATGACTCCGTAGTGGATCCCGGAGGATTTATCGCCACAAATTTTGCATGGTATCACTTCAATTTGTGCTGTAGGGGGAAAACAGACATTTTGAGCTAACAGAGTTGCCTTCTTCCTTTTACCCTCCTATCTCCCTCCCCACCTCTCCCTGCCTTGACCTTAGTGTTTGGACACGGCGGGGTGGGGGTGGATGGGTGGGATCATCCGCTACTATTTGAATGGCCTCCCTGAGCTACTTCTGTGTGAAAGGGTATCCATTTACCATTGTTTGCTTTGTTTTTCTCAAACTAAAACGTATAACCAGGATCAGAAGTTTGCTAAACTCTTGCCTTCCCTGTGTTCTCCTTTTTAAACCTGACCTTGAAATAGCGTGACTCAAAAATCTCTTGAACCCCTGGCTTTGGTTTTCTTATTTTGCACTTCAAACACTGAGTTACTGAGAGCTATCACATTGCCTTATTTCAATAATATTTTAAATAAGTAAATAAAGCAAAACTGGAGGGGGTGGTGGTGACTTTATACATTATGTGGCTGGATGTTTATTTGTGAAAATGCCAATAACGAATCAGTCGAATATTTATTGAATGTGCTCTGTATGTCCACTAAATTAATAAAGTTTGATGACACAACATAAGATATGCTAATGATACCAATAACTTAATTAATAAAACATGGAGAAATCAGAGAAAAATGATAAAGTATGTGGGGACTTAACTAGGAACTGATATAGTTTCGTTGGAGATGAAGACAGCTTGGTTGATTTTGAAGACTGTGTAGGATTTGGTTAGGCTGGAGTGAAAGGCAGAGGGCATTTCTGCAAGCAGAATGGAATGAGGGAGGTCCAGAATGATTATGGCTTGTGATCACTAAAACAAACAACTTGGCTATATTGAAACTTGGGTCATATGGTTGCATAGAGGGGGTGATATCGGATTATAGAGCTCCTGGGAATTAAGTGGAGGAATTTTCACCTGGTTCCACTGGCCGTAGGAATCAAGGAAGTGAACCAGGTAAAGAAATGATGAAAGTGGTGGTTTGAGTACCTTAGAATGGTGAGTTTGCCAGGCTAACTGGAAACAAGGAGAAGACTAACTAAAAGGCTTTTCCTGACTTGGGTGTTAGGAGATTAAAGCGTGGATTACATTGGTGGCAGAATAAATGGAGAGGAAGAAGCAAATAGACAGACAGTTCAAAGGTAGAGGAGAGAAGATAAATGACAGAAAGGATACAGAGGTGGAAACTGATGACAAAGAGGCTTCTAGCTTCCTAGCTTTCAGGCTGAGATTAAATAGTAGGTTTCACAAAAGGGGGACGTTGGTAAGGCAACTATTTTGTGCAATACGGTGGGGCAGGGGATTTCCATTTTGCATGTGTGCTATTTGGTGTGATGTCTTGTAGGCACCTGTATATAGAACCTTTTGGAAAGATGACTTTAAGTTATCAGGATTGAGGTTATGGGTGAATCCATGGGATAAACTTTATTTAGAATGTAGTAATTCCTACGTCTCTGATAGTATTCTAAGAGTTGTTAAAATTATACACACTAGGAAGAACTACTATTCCCACTCCCAATTTAAAATAGTTATGCAAAATATGCTCCAAAATGCTTTGTACATCAATCTGCTACTTGGATGTTTTTCTACAGTTTCTTACCCTTGAATATACAAAACAAATAAGTGCAAGATATAATCCTCTTTGTCTTATTGTTTTACATTTTAAAAAAGATAATACTCAGCTTTAGGGTAGCCCATTAAATTTTTTGAAATTAAATATTTCACAGGAACTTCAAATGACCTTTATGAGCAAAAAAGCAGCGTTATGTCCCTATTTTTCATATGAGAAAACTGAGGATCAAGGTGGTTAATGATGTCTTTGAGTTGGCTTGGGAGATGACAATCAGAAATTAGCCAATTTCCTGATATTTCATTCAGTAACCCATTCTCTGCCTCCTGCAAAGATAAAATACAAATACAATTTTGAATTCCTATGTTATTCCAATAGCACCAGCTAAAGAGATGATGATAAAAACATTGGGAGAAGAGACAACTAAAGTCAACGAAAATACTTATTAAACTATTTATTTCTATTTGCTTCTGTTCTTTTGGCTTCCAGATTACATGAACTGTCCTGTTTCTCTTAGCTTTCAGATTACATGAACTAGTACTTGTTTTCAAGATCTTTTTTTTTTTGAGGAAAATTAGCCCTGAGCTAACATCTGCCACCAATCTTCCTCTTTTTGCTGAGGAAGATAGGCCTTGAGCTAACGTCTGTGCCCATCTTCCTCTATTTTATATGCGGGATGCCTACCACAGCATTGATTGATAAGTGGTGCATAGGTCCGCGCCTGGGATTTGAACTGGTGAACCCAGGGCCACCAAAGCAGAGTGTGTGAACTTAACTGATATGCCACTGGACCAGCCTTTCAAGATTTTGTGATATGGGGAAAACTCGAGATTTGATGTCATTCTGTTCTGTTCTGTTCGCCTGGGTTCCAGTCCATAATCTGTTAGTGATTGGGGCCATGGCTAAGATCAAATCTCTGACCTTGTTTTCTGGTTTATAAAGCTTAGCTGACAAACTTCATAGACTCGTGAGGATTAAATGAGATATTTTATGTAGAAGCGCTTGTAAATAGTAAAGAGCTACAAAATATCACTCTTCATCATCATCATCATCAACAGCACCACTGTTAACTGATATCTCTAACAATTTTGGACAAAAACATAGACAAGCCATATTGTTATTCCTTTATTAAAAATCTTATCATTAAAAAAACAGATGAATGACACTATAAGTTATTTGTACTATGGGTTTTTTTTTTTAATTTTTGTGATTGCCTTTCAAACAGTGGATTCTTTACAATGTTTGCAAAGTTGACTAAAATCCCAGGTATCCATTGTACAGTTGTTAGGCTTCTATGATATTAAGTCAGAGCACTCTGCATAAATTACTCCCCAGGGAGTAACTTACACGTGGGGAGAATCTGCTTGAATAAGTTCTTAATTATAAAATGATCTAACTCTAAAGGAAATGAAAATAGAGGTAATTTGCCCCCTGGGGTGTGAGAAGATCTTTTTGAAAGCCACAAAGGTTATCTTACACAACTTCAGAAATACAAACGGGATAAAGAATGATTCGATAGAACATCTGCATATTTATACATATTTATAATCCCAGCTCCACATGTAATCCTGAAGAGCCATAAACATTTTAACAGTATTTTTAAAGAGAAAGAATTCACTTAAAAAGGTATTTGTGTGGTGCTGTGTGTGGGAAGGGATTATCGGTTTGGAAAACGTATGACCATTTTTACCTTTTATGGCAGAATAGATCTGTTGAGGTTTATAATAGGGAAAGATAAATTTAAATAATTTAAGGTGCCGATCCTTTTCCTCTTCTCTCATTTAAAATAAACTGCCTCTGAGCTACTGCTTCATAGTTCATTCTATGTATTTTATAAAGCACATCTTTGAGGCAGAGTATTTCAGACACTGATGAGAACAACAGATCATATTATTGCTCCAGTGTTTGCTATTTCTGAACGTTTTGCCATAACACCAGCCATAGCCTCCTGTGCAATTGTCTTGTGGTGAATACAGATCTGGTGACGTGCTACTTATCATGGTTTCAGACTGAACACCTGGGGAGGATTTGGTGGCTTGGACCTCACCAGCTGTGACAATGAAGGGTGTTATAAGGAAGCTGAGGAGGGAGTTCGACTTTTATACTTTTGCTTGATTCATTGAGTAACTCAACAAAAGCATTGTCTGAGAGACAAACACAGAGGAGCTGAAAAGCCCTTGAGATATGCTCATTTCTCAGTGTTTCCATTTTTTATATCTTCCTCTTGCTTGTATTTTTCTATTGGTAATCCTTCGTGGAGACTATAGTTAAAATTTTATTTACCAATTAATTTTTGTGTTCATAAAAGCGATCATACATGGGGTTTTTTTGAAGTAATATTCTTACAATGTCAAAGAATTTCATGAAATATTTAAAATAATTTGATGTTTTATCTCAGAACAATTTATGAAGTAAAATTAATTGAATATCCCATGATTTAGAAGGGAGATCCCTTCAACAATTAGAGAGTCATCAAAATTTGTTTGTTCTTTGAAAATGGTGGTTCTCTCCTCCTAGTATCTCCTGCAGGGCCTTCCTTGCTTGGAGTCCCTCCCACGACATCTCAGAAAGCCACCACGTGTTCAATTCTTCTTCCTTATCAAAATGGACATATCTTTTGTTCTGCTCCCTCAGAAACCCCTGCTGGTGAAGGTAGGTGTTAAGTTAGAGTAACTAATCCAGGCTATTGAGCTAACTGGAAAATGTATCACTTTGATCCATCAAAATACCTTAACTCTTAAAAGCATCCATCAGGAATGGGAGTAACAGTGGACTGTTTAGGAAACATTTTTACTGTGTGCTCTTATGCTCTTAATTCCTACCATTCCATCTCTTTCAACTCACCCTGGCCATTTTTATGTTCTGGGCATTTTAAGCCCGTTGAGGACAGAGTCCAGGTCATACTTCTTTTTTATATTTTCTATGGAGCTCAAAAGAGGATATTTATAACTCCTTAAAGCAGTGGTCCTAATTTGTTTTTCTTTCAGTACAATTAAGAGATTTGACATCCTCCCTTTTATCAAAGTGGCTTTAAGCAATACTAATTTTCCAGATTTGGGGGCTGGGAGAAGAAATCAGAATCTTGAGATTTGGGTGGATATATATTTTGGAATAGACCCTCAGGTGCTTCTCATATGATATGATAAGGCTCCCATTGAAGAATACATGAATCAAGCTATTAACTAGGAATTCTCTGGAGCATGTAAACCATTTGCAAAGGAAATAAAACCTGGGGACAAGGCTAGAATCTGGGAATACTAGGGCATGACCAGTAATTCTCTCTCTGTTTCCTGGCCTTCGGTTTCAGGCTATACTTGCAGCATCTTTTGTTTTCTACCTTTTTTTTTTTCCTGAAGAGAAATAAGAAGCATCTGCCCCGTCGATGATAATCCCCTTTCCTGCACACTGGGTTTGCCTCTCAGTTTCTGTTTTCCAGAATTTTACA